CACAGCTCATAATCAAAGTTACAAGAAGCATTGAATGGATATTGGGTTTTTCAGCGAAAAGCAACTTCCAGGTGATTAATAACAAGCCTCATTGTCTTCATCATTATGGGTGAGAGAGAGAAAGAAAGAGGAATCTAGTGAGAGAGATGGTGAATGTAATTAAAGTTTTAGGTGGGTTTGTGAGGATGGAGTAGATGAAAATGGAGATCACAAAAGAAATTGAGAGAGATGGATATGGGAACAGGATATGAAAAGCAGAAGGACGTTTTTGTCTTTTAACCAAGATTTCATATTTGCAATTTGGGACCTAGTCCTTTGTAGTGATTTTCCAAATTCAGGGCCCCTCATTGCCATTTTATATATTAGAGGGTCTTTATTTGCAATTTTTTCTTTCTTTTTCTATTCTTCCTCAGTCAAAAAATTTGGAATGTTACACGTAATCTGTTTAATCTATATATAAATAGATAGATGCAAGAGGAGGCTAGCACATAATGCAATCCTACCAATAGTCTTTTCAAGTTAGCACATTGAATTTTCAATTAAACAAGTTCCAAGAATATCATAAGACCAAATTTAAAATTAAAATATTTCTTTGCAACTGAGAAAACACCTGTTGTTCTTTTATAAGAAGATAGATTGGATTTCATATTCAAATTCACATTCGAGTTCATATTCAAATTCAGTGTCACATTTTAAATCAAAATTTTTATTCGAAATTCATTCAGATTTAAATTCAAAGTAATAGGTAAAAAGTTATGATAGACCTTGAAGTGAGGAAACCAACATACTTGTTGCTGAATGAAGTTAACAAAATCGCATTGTCTAATAGAATGTGGGGTATTTAAATATGATGAAATGGGTGTCATTAAGTAAATCAAATAATTAAGTAAATTGAATTAAATTATTGCAAACGTTCATCCAAAGATTCATGGATGAAGCGGCTGCAATAATTCATCACGGTTCTTAACACCGAGGACAGCCATATTTTTGAGTCATTTAACATGTTAAAATGCACAACGGATGGAATTGAGTAGCCATGGTAATATATTGATTATTGATTAGGAGAGGCCAAAGCTGAAATCTTAAATGTGGAAGCAAAAACGAAAGAAAGATGGCCATGGCAATATATTAATTATTGATAAGTTGGCGTTAAAATATGTATATGAAATCTTGAAGGGGAAATTGCAAATAAAGACCCTCCAATATATAAAATAGCTATCAGGGACCCTGAATTTGGAAAATAGCTTCAAAGGACCCGGTCCCAAATTGCAAATATGAAATGATGGTAGAATGTCCAAAATGCCCTCTGCTTTTCTCTCTTTCTTCTTCTCCAGATCATCTTCTTCCCGACCTTGCCTCCTCATTTTCCTCTCACTCTTCGTTCTCTCTTTCCTCTCCAAGTTTCCTTCCCTCTCCTCACTCTTTTCCCAAAGTATATGGAACTCCCAATGTCTTTCGGTGGTCCTCTCCTCATTGTCATCCCCGTCACTTTCTTCTTATCTTGCTTACCTGCTCTTTCGTCAACAATGAAGCCTCTTCCATCATTCTCTTTGTTGCTGTGGAAGGAGAGGAGAGTCGGGAGTTTGAGGGAGAGTGACAGTCATTTGTAATGCTTGTAATGTTTGCTTGCAATGTGTGCGGTGATTGCTTGGTGCTGAGACAACGCCCAATAAATCTGGATTTTTATTCTTCATTTCTATTTTGATTTTCAGCTTGTGTTCGTAATTGAAAATAACGAGTTTGATAAGTTGTTGAAAATAACAAGTTGACAAGTTCTGATACCCAGTTCACGACAAGTTCAGTAATGCGAATAACAAGTTTAGCAAGGCGAATAACAACTTCTGATAAGCAATTCATAGAAATTCGAGTTTCTCTGTTAAAATGACAGCATTTTCAGATTTCTTTAGCAGATGACAAGTTCTGATACACAATTCATGACAAGTTCAGTAAGGCGAATGACAAGTTTAATAAGGCGAATGACAACTTCTGATAAGCAATTCATAGAAATTTGAGTTTCTGTGTTAAAATGACAGGTTCCCAGTAGGTTTTCATACTTTTTCCTGTTAAAATGACTGGATTTCCACATTGATTTATCAAATGACAGGTTTATAATAGAAAATGACAAGTTTTCATAAGATTTTTATGCTTTTTTTTTTGCTGGAATTACAATTTGCACATTTCTGACAGCAACAACTTCTGATAAATACGAAATGACAAGTTCAAAATGAAAAATGACAAGTTAAGTATAGCAAATGACAAGTTCCCACAATGTTTTCATACTTTTTCTGCTAAAATTACAATTTGCACATGTCTGACAGCACCCACTTCTGATAATTGCAAACAAGCTCTAAATTGTGAAAATCAAGTATGATGATTGTATTTCGGTGGAAAAATCGATCAAGGTGTGGCATGTGAGGAACAAACGAGCCCTAAATACAGTGCTAAACGAATAAAGTTCTCGCTTTATATGTAGAATTTGATGGTTTCTTGTTCATATGATATGGCAATTTATATTTGGGATTTCATGGTTGAGGATGCACTTGTGAGTGGATATGATCATCGTAGTGCATTTGCCATTGGTGTTGATATGAGCATGCTTCTTGAGGGGCTTATGAGAGTTCTGGTGCTATAGTTTTATACATTAGGAGGAAATGAGAGGTGAAGTTGATGATGAAAGATGTTAATCAGAAGTGGTTGCTGTCAGAAATATGAACATTGTTATTTCAGTAGAGAAATTTACATTTGTATGAAAACGTGATGGGAACTTGTCATTTTACATACTTAATTTGTCATTCGCTATTGTGGACTTGTCATTTATTGTTTATCAAAAGTGATTGCTATCAGCAATGTGCAAATTGTAATCCCACCAGAAAAAGTATGAAAATGTATGAAAACATTATGGGAATTTGTCACTTGCCATACTTAACTTGTCATTTTCCATTATGAACTTGTCATTTCGTGTTTATCAGAAGTGGGTGCTGTCAGACATGTGCAAATTGTAATTTTAGTGGAAAAAGTATGAAAATGTATGAAAACATTGTGGAAACTTGTCATTTGCTATACTTAACTTGTCATTTTTCATTCTGAACTTGTCATTTCGTATTTATCAGAAGTTGTTGCTGTCAGAAATGTGCAAATTGTAATTCCAGCAAAAAAAAGCATAAAAATCTTATGAAAACTTGTCATTTTCTATTATAAACCTGTCATTTGATAAATCAATGTGGAAATCCAGTCATTTTAACAGGAAAAAGTATGAAAACCTACTGGGAACCTGTCATTTTAACACAGAAACTCAAATTTCTATGAATTGCTTATCAAAAGTTGTCATTCGCCTTACTAAACTTGTCATTCGCCTTACTGAACTTGTCATGAATTGTGTATCAGAACTTGTCATCTGCTAAAGAAATCTGAAAATGCTGTCATTTTAACAGAGAAACTCGAATTTCTATGAATTGCTTATCAGAAGTTGTTATTCGCCTTGCTAAACTTGTTATTCGCATTACTGAACTTGTCGTGAACTGGGTATCAGAACTTGTCAACTTGTTATTTTCAACAACTTATCAAACTCGTTATTTTCAATTACGAACACAAGCTGAAAATCAAAATAGAAATGAAGAATAAAAATCCAGATTTATTGGGCGTTGTCTTAGCACCAAGCAATCACCGCACACATTGCAAGCAAACATTACAAGCATTACAAATGACTGTCACTCTCCCTCAAACTCCCGACTCTCCTCTCCTTCCACAGCAACAAAGAGAATGATGGAAGAGGCTTCATTGTTGACGAAAGAGCAGGTAAGCAAGATAAGAAGAAAGTGACGGGGATGACAATGAGGAGAGGACCACCGAAAGACATTGGGAGTTCCATATACTTTGGGAAAAGAGTGAGGAGAGGGAAGGAAACTTGGAGAGGAAAGAGAGAACGAAGAGTGAGAGGAAAATGAGGAGGCAAGGTCGGGAAGAAGATGATCTGGAGAGGAAGAAAGAGAGAAAAGCAGAGGGCATTGGACATTCTACCATCATTTCATATTTGCAATTTGGAACCGGGTCCTTTGAAGCTATTTTCCAAATTCAGGGTCCCTGATAGCTATTTTATATATTGGAGGGTCTTTATTTGCAATTTCCCCAATCTTGAATGTAGAAGCAAAAGCAAAAAAAAAAAAAAAACCCTTTTAAAATGCAACACAAAAGCTTAAAAATTCAAACGCATGGAAATAGAAAACAAATATAGAATTAACAATCACACGTCGATTGTTACTAGAAGTTTTAACCAAAAAGAAAAAGAAAATTAAAAAATATCAACTTGTCAAGGACCCAAATATCAAAATTTCACAAACCCTGTAACAAAAGCAAAGACTAACGTGGGAAAAATGATATGGAAAAAAAGACAATTAGGAAAGATGATCTACAAAGCCAAAAGATAAATGATATGGGAACAAAATACCCAACGATGAACTGTAAGTCGAGGAACATATCAAACAACCATCCTTAGACAGTCGCGGAAATAGAAGCCGCACCACGCAACAAATGCAAATCATGAAAGGGGAGAAATTTGAGATGGGATCAGGAACCCACATGGTTGCAGAGGGGTGAGAAGTCACAAGAAGAGTCGCTTGGACGGAAAAAGGTAACAAAAGGCGAGACACAGCGGGCAAAGTCGGAGGATTGGAGGGATAGTCGCTTGGGGAGTGGGGAGGTAAACAGAAGGACAGCTCATTAAACTACTGGACAACCCATTAATATGTTAGTAATATTCCACCTAAACCCATAGGCTAGTTGAACCCGCTATAGTGTGAATATTTCTCCACCCGTTTTTGCATTATCAGGCATTACATTATTTCTTAGAAGTATACTAAACTCCATAAGCTCTATCGATCATAACCAATTCCTCATAGAACTCGCAGTCTTAACATCCAAGAACTGAAAATTATAATACTCAAGTTTCATAAATAATAATTTGTAATAAATTCACAACAAATAAATTACAAAAGCAAAAGTAGAAAATGTCCTAAAGAACGTAATATCTTGGATTTAACACAAATGTAAATAGTGGACATGTCACACAACTCATTAATGTAGCCTCATTTCCTCCTAGCCTTCCTTAATGTCCCTCCTTGAAGCTCTTACCTGAAAAAAATGTAAAACTAACGAAATGAGACAACAACCTCAATAACTAGGTGTCACACCTACCACACAAGGTGTTAAGCAGAATACTTATAGAACATTCATTAATAAGAGTACAAAATAACATCCATTTATATATAAACAAACACGTATCCATCGTAACATAACCAATAGTAATTATAATTTTTTGCCAAGAGCGTAACACACATAGTAGTTTAGGGTCATAATTCACAGGTAATTAAAATCATGATATTCAACATACCTAATCTAGTTTGGTCAGATTATATTCACAGTCTAGATGTCATCAAAGTCTAGATTAAGTTCAAAGTCTGGATCAAGTTGACCACAATCTGAGACTTGAACTAGTAACCCACGTGCCTTTGTAATCTCATCCAATGTTTTCATTCCCTTAATAATCTTCCCAAAAACCACGTGAAACCTACACAAAAATTCCAGATAATAGGATTGATAAGTTATACACTTTTAAAAAAGCAATATTTGAAGACCAAACTGTATTCACACCCCAGCCACCTATCAGAAAGGTGAAAACGGGGCAGAACACAGTACTAAATATATAAACGAACTTGTCTAGACTTGAATCTCCATTCAATGTGATTGTAAAATGTGAGCCAATTCCATAACGATCAGCAATGTTCATAGTTAGAAGTCCTCGTTGATCATGTTTAAGCACAGGAGCCTCATCTGAAATAAATCATAAGAACAATGTAAATACCCCGTTTACCAAAATATATACCCAGGTATTTTGAGCTATGTCTATGAAAACAAAATATTTTAAATTACTGCATTCTATATAGTAAGGACAAAAATGAATATTATTGACATTCTCACGTGGGAAATATTCATCATAGATGCTTTCCCCGCAAGTACCTGCAAAAATACATGATAAAGAACCAACATGTGTGAGACAAAAAGTACATCAAGAGAGAAAAAATTGAAATTTATAGAGACTTATACTTGAAATTAATGCAAACAATTTAAAACTCACTCCAGAATTAATATTCAACTTCCAAGCATAATCCACAGTCTTACTCTAATAGATTAATGTTATGTATTTGTAATTATAAATTAATAAGAAAATATTTAAATATAATATAAATAGGATAAATAAGATTTAAATGATATTAATAAGATTTAGATAGGATTTAATTATATTAGTAAGATTTGGATAGATTAGGATATCTAAATAATATTTAAATAATATTAGGAAATCTACTTCGATTTACATCTACTAGTGCTTTTGCTTATAAATAAGTATTACTTGTAACTCAGTTTTGCAATTTGACTGAAGCTACTCAGTTTCTCCTGGTTTCCTTTGCTTCTCTATTTTCACTTCCCTCTTTGTCTTCCCTATTTCTTTACTTTCCATAATTAAGGTTCAAACAGTGAAGAAAAGGAAAGAAAATGGGGGAAACACCAACCAAAAAAAAGACCAGCCTATTAAATAACTTACACATCCACAGACTCATGTTATAACTCATGCAATGCATGATTAAAAAAATGAATGTTATTATCCAATTAGTAATAGTAATTACTACACAAGATGATATGACCAAAAATATAAGATGGACAACTTAAAAAACATGAAAGTGACTAAATGTATTGAATCAAACCACAATCTAGAAAAACTAGATACCACAATGCAGCAATACAAAACATACCAGTTGAACCGCCCAGATCCCCCCCCTGCAAAATGAAAACCAGCTATCAATATGAAGCTAAGATACCACAATACATACAAAACGGCTTGGACATTACATTATGGAACTTAATAGCATTGTGAGATGGACGACTTAGTAAGCAAAAGCTTAAAATCACATCACAAGAAGGAACATCTTCAACCACAAAATAAAGGAACATAAAGAAGGAGCATCTACTAAGCCGTGTTCATCTTCAAGATTTCAACCACAACATGATGGATAGATGATAGATCTACAATACAGAAGAGTGATCTTAGAGGTAAAAAGAGTATAACATATACCTTCACATATGAGATGTCGCTCCGAATCCGGTAGAAAAAAGAGTTCTTGTAATGCAGGGGCAAACCTGTTTTCCGCCCAATTCCCATTTCACCTGAACAAGGAGAAAAACTAAATGAAAAATGGGAAACTACATCATAAGCCATAAAATCTAAATACATTCGCATGACCAAGGGCTTATTCAGTTAGTCAATTGAAGAATAATTATTATTTACCATTGTTCTGTATTATATGATTTGCATATATCTAGAATATTCCCAGTAGGGACAAGTGGCATTATTGTTTGTATACTCTCTATAAATAGAACCGCACATGCCCAAAGATGATAATTTAGGAGCATCTACTATTAGAATTGTTTCAGCACTTGCAATTGCTTTCAATTGGTAAGTCAGGCAGCTTGACACCAATAATGCCTTTTTAAATGGTTTTCTCACTATACCAATCTTTATGGAACAGCCAGAAAGGTTCATTGATCCCACTAAGCCAAACTGAGAGTGTAAACTATCCAAGGCACTCTATGGGCTAAAGCAAGCACCAAGGGCATGGTTTGACCAACTCAGAAATGTTCTACTTGCTTGGGATTTCACTAACTATAAAGGTGATATATCTCTCTTTATCTACTCAAATATTTCCCAAATATTAATGGTCTTTATATATGTTGATGACATATTAGTCACAGGAAGCAACTCTTACAGCCTGAAATACTTCACCGAAAAGCTCCACAGCATATTGTCATTATAAGATCTTGGGTCCATTCACTACTTCTCGGGAATTGAAGCTCACCGAGACAGTTCTGAACCCCATCTAACTCGAGGGAAACACATTTTAGACCTCTTGGATAGATTTCAAATGAGCAATGCCACACCTTGTCAAGCTTCAATGGCTGCACACAAGTCTCTCTCTATAAACTCAGGAGAACCACTTGAAAATCCGTCTCAATATAGGAGTACAGTGGAAGCATTACAGTACTTATGTAACAGTCATCCAGATATTCGTTTCAGTGTTGGAAAATTAAGTCAGTTCCCATCGAAGCCTACCACTGAACACTGGAAAGCAATAAAACATGCGCTCCAATCATGCTCGTTTTTTGTGTCTAAGAGACAAGTCAGGCGTTATAGTGACTCCATCAAGAAAAAGTCAACAGAGTCAGATCACCAATGAAAAGAAGAGGAGGAGGAGAGAAGTCGAAGTAGAGGAGAGAGTTAAGAATAATTATTATTTACCATTGTTTTATATTATATGATTTGCATATATCTAGAACATTCCAAGTGGTGGCATTGTATTGTTTGTATACTCTCCTTTATAAATAGAACCGCATATGCCCGGAGATGATTATTCAGGAGCGTCATTACATTAGCATATTACTTTTCTAGTCAGATAGTAATTGCAGAGAAATAGGATTTTAGTAGGGGGCAAAAACCATCAAATTATTACCTGTACATAGAGCACGAAAATTTTCTGCAGTGTAAGGGGCAATATCGTAGAACAGCTGGAATGGTGAAAGAATTCATTAAGTTGCAAAATCCACAAAAGCAAAGAACTTCATCATCTATCACAATAGTCATTGTAATTCAAAAGTATTGAAAAGAAAACAGATACCTCAAAAACCATCCTTCCAACATGCACCTTATCTACAGAGACATCCATAAAAACCCAGGGATTCCTATTCTCTGCCATTGTCCTTCTTTTCTTGAGTCATAACTCAAGCCAACAACCACTGAAGTAACAGAAGTCAACAAAGGGACACCAGTTAATTATTGATATTAAGTAGTACTGCATAAGAAGACGCTGATACTCAAGTTTCCATTCAACAATTGGAGCACAGTACTCCCTGTAAAATTCTAACTAAAAGGGAAAAAAAACACGTCATATGCAGCATTGCCGTTGTCCCCACACACCTCTTGGACACAGTTGAGTATAATGATTTCAAAACGCTTCTCTTTTCCGTTTAATCATACATTCAACATACATAAACAGCAAAGGCAAAAAGAAGCCACAGATCAGGTAAAAAACTAATTAGATGAAATCAATGAAGAAAGAAATGTGACAAAATTCGACTTGTAATATGAAAATTACAATTACAATGATAGCTAATAATCAGAAGCAGAGGGCAGTATTCCGAACAAAACATTATCAACATTAGTTTCACCCGTAAGCTAATAATAAGGTTCGAGATGAGAGGGAATCAAGTGCTACAGTATATCAAATAAAAGGAAAAGGGGTGTAGAAAAAGTCATTACATCAGAATGAATGCAGAAGAATTGTGATTCAAGTGACAACACCGTGTGGCGTCGGAAACAGAGGGCAGGGGGAACGAACTGGGTACCGTCGTCTGTCAGGCGTTGCCTCGGCGTCAGCATGAAGGAGAGAAGAGCACCCGAACTCAAGCCTCGGGTGCGACTGGCCGGCTCTGCGAGTAAGGATGAGAGTCTAGAGATTGGAGGAGAGGCCTGTGCGAGCGGGGCCTCGTCGGCGTCGAATAGAGAGGCGGTCGGAGGAACAGAGGCCGAGAGGGTTCGTGGAGGAATAGGACGCGTCTGTCTAGACAGAAAGCCAAGGGTTTCGGCGTCGAACAGAGAGGAGGTGAATAATGATGAGAGTCTAGAGATTGGAGGAGTGCTGTGCGAGCGCCGCCTCGTCGGCGTCCAATAGAGAGGCGGCCGGAGGAAGAGAAGCCTAATAGCGAGGCAGGAGAAGGGACCGAGATTTAGTGGGGAGAAGGGCACGCGTCTGTGAAGGCAGGGAGACTAGGGTTTCAATTTTAAATGATGTCACGGGGCATTTGGATAGCAAGCAAATCATAATTTTAAAATTTTAAAACAAAATAAAAATAAAGAAAATTGGTAAAAAATTATTTTAATTTATGTAAAAATATTTTTTAAATTAACCAAACACCCATTTAGAGTTTTAGTTATTGTCTAGGGTGTGTTTGTTGTTTACTTCGGTTAATGAAAAGAAAGGGAAGGAAAGATTGGGAAAGAATTTTAATGTTATTTTTAATTTTTAATTGGTTTCGGAGGGAATAAGAGGGAAGATATCTTTATATGGATAATTTTATCTTTACCTATTTAAGTAGTTTTTTTAATCAGCATTTTTTTAAAGTATATTTATATTGATATACATATTCAAGATTATATTTTATGATTCTAATCACAGTATATGATAATACTAATTTTAAATATTAGTCATAGTAGTAATAAAGAGATTTACTACATATCAGTGATAGTGATTGCTAATGGAAAATCATACCATATTATCACCAAATTTTAACAAAATCCCAACTAACATATTAGTTCAAGCAATGAAATCTGCCAATAAATAAATACAAATAATAAAAAAATTTAAAATAAATATTTAAAAAATATCCCAAAAAAAATCACAATAAATCTTCCTCTAGCTAGATCTTCATCCTAATTCTGATTAACAGCGGAGGCATCCTTTGCAAGTGGCCAAGGATCCTTCTCAAAGGCGGCATCATCATCTTCATCATCAATAATGATGCAAATCTCAGGTAGAAACAATCTTGTAGAAGTAAAGATGATGATTGCGTTGGCAAAAAGAAAACAAAGAAGGTGAAGATGGAGGGAGAAGAAAGCTTAAACAAAAGCAAAGAAGATCTCTTTTCGAACAGTGAGATCGGGTGAAGCAAGAGAATGATAAAAGGCAACAATAGGCACAAACGGATGATACAAAGCAAAAGGGCGAGCATCGGTAACTTAGCCAGAGTGAAGAAGAACAAAGCAACCGAGAATGAAAGAAATACTGGGTGTTTGAGTGAAAGCAAAATCATAGTTTTAAAAGTACAAAGTAAATATATGGAGGACTTAAAAGATGTTTGTCAAAAGTACTTTTGGATTATCCCAAACACCCTTTATCCCATGCATATTGAGAAGTTAGCATGGGTAACTAAGATATGACAGAAAATTTCTCCCCCTTCAAATAACCCTCAGTTTAGTAGGACAGGTGGAGATGGGAAGGGATGAGAAAAAAGA